TTATGGTCAACATTAGTGGTGTTGAATATTTGTTTTCCGAATTTAACTATATTTTATTTAAATTAATTTTTGTAAAAAATAAGGCTCACTATAGTCTTTTACTTTAATAAAACTTAATTTAAAATTATTAACTTTTTTATGTTAGTTACAAACCAATGAAAACAAATAAAAACAATAAAGTTTATTTTGTAAAGATTGAATAAAAAAACTATTTATCTTTAGATGGCTAAAACATATTAATAAGTCAATAAAACACGCACACACACACAAGTAAACCTGTTATTAAAATTAGGTAATTAAAAACTTCCCGATTAAAAATATCGAAAACGATGGCTTATATGTTCGTGGAATATCTGATTGTACTAAAGCTACTAGAAATTCGCACCCCCACTTTTTATTTTGAATATTTGAATAAATAAATATTAACCTTTTCTTCAAATAATTGTATCTAATATTCTTCATTTTCTCTCTTCTTTTTAATATTCACTTAAGTTACGGTTTTATTTACTATAGATATGGAAATAAATTCAAGAGAATAGAAATTTTAAAAATACATATAACGTTTCCAAATTATCAGCAGAATTAAAAAGTAAAAACAAACAGAATAAGAATTATTTCTATTAGGATTTACTTTTTAATTCTGAGATAAAAAAAATGTATTCTAATGCAATTATTACGTATTTTTAATTTAAAAACGATTGATGACTGTCGGTTTCATGCTTCGAGTCTTGAAGATTGCAGGCAAACATGAAACAAACTGTCGCCATTCGATGTCGACCTCAGTCTCCACATTTATATTTACATACGCTCTAACCCTGATAGCACTTTTACCCATATATATGACATATCTAAAAATTATATATATTTATATATATATCTCCCTTTTCCAGACTGTTTCGGTATATCAGAACTCATCAGCGTCGGTTGCCTATAAATAGAATCGAAGCCCAGCTGAATTGGCGTCAGTCGGAGATTCTTCCCCTAAGCCGTTGGCGCACGGTATAGATGAAGATGAATTTAAGCGTATTTATTTTTCGAGAAACACACAGTGCCTTAGAGAACCCGATTCGCTTTACTGAAGAGTCTTGCATTATTAGCCGTAATAATCACTGTTTACAAATCCGCACTTCCTACCTAGAGAGCTCAACCGAAATAAATTTTTTCAGGAGCATACATATATATATATATATATATATATATATATATATATATATACATACATATATACATATACATATATATATATATATATATATATATATATATATATTATCCATTGTTATTTATCAATGCTGAAAATTAAGTTTTACTCTCACGATTTTTTACTTGGTAGTAGACCTCAGAATAAGGCATTACTTAATATAAATTCTTTCCTAATATTTTTACAGGTTAATAGGAGTAGATAGGTTCAACTATCATCCGGTATGCACTTCTTCCATATTTATTGAACAGGATTAGAGGTTAATCCCTTTTTCCAGATCAGGAAATTTTTTACTGTTTTTCTTTCTTTCTCCTACTAGCGCCACAGTGATTTAACTGTCTTAACTCTTTGGTGATCTGATTAGCCAATGGCCGTGACTTTCCATTATGCGATTACTGGGTTGGCAGTTTGCTGGCTGCTGCTTCCGACATGGCGTTAGGAGCCCGAACTATGTGGTAGGGCTTAGAGAGGTTGCTCCGATAAAGAGTCGCATAATATTGGCGTATCTGTAGTGACATGTCGCGCGTGGGTAGGTGTCCCTTCATTTATTCCCATTGGACCACCCTGAGGCCACATGGTGCTCTGCTCTCAGCTGCACACTGGCTGGTTTGTATTGCCATTGAATAACAGATAGCGACAATATGTGTGTGTGTGTGTGTGTGCTTATTATTATTAGAATCTCTCTCTTTTCTCTCTCTCTCTCCCATATATATATATATATATTTGTATATGTATGTATAGCAAATATTGATGAAAAGAGACATCGCTTAAACTTCCTAACGACCATGTTTAAATGGATGGAGGATTAATGACTGACAGTGCTCGTAAGGGGACAAATATTGCTCAGAGCATGAAATGACAGAATGTTGTGGAAAGCCATGATTATTCAATGTTAAATGTTTTCGGTCACGATCAACGTTTTATATTACCAATGAACAATGTCTTTGTATTATTTATCATCGTTCTAATTCAGGAGCCGTCATTAATATAGGCTTAGAGTCATTGTCAATTCTTCTTCTTCTTTTTCTTCTTTTTTTCTTCTTCTTCTTCTACTTCTTCTCCTCCTACTTCTCCTCCTCCTCCTCTTCTTTTTTTCTTTTTCTTCTTCTTCTAATTCAGGATCCGTCATTAATATAGGTTTAGGGTCATTGTCAATTCTTCTTCTTCTCCTTCTTCTTCTTCTTCTTTTTTCTTGTTCTTCTTCTCCTAATTCTTCTACTCCTCCTCCTACATCTCCTCTTCATCTTCTCCTTTCTATTACTTTTTTTCTCCTCCTCCTCTTCTTCTTTTTTTCTTCTTCTTCTTCGTATTCAGGAGCCGTCATTAATGTCGGTTTAGAATCATTGTCAATTCTTCTTCTCCTTCTACTTCTTCTCCTCCTCCCCTTTCTTCTTCTTCTCCTCCTCCCCTTTCTTCTTCTTCTCCTCCTCCTCCTCTTCTTCTTCTCCTATTTCTCCTCATCCCCTTCTTCTTCTTCTTCGTTGTTGTTTCCCTCGTTCAGTGTACCTTCTCAACAATACCCTGTCCTTTTGCAGCACTTACATTTTCTCTTTTTGCTATCTCTCCTAAACCTTACTCTGCCAACCACTTACACAATTCCATTTTCCTCTCAGCCATTTACAGAAACTTGTTTGACATGTTAATCGCTGTTTTCTTCTGTCCATCTTGTCTTCAACATGTCCTGTGCGTGTGTCAAATTTTCTAGGCATTCTTTTCTTCTTATAGAACCTAGTTATTTCAAATGTCCCGTTCTGATGTTATGTATAAACTTCCGTCTCGTTTCCATTTTCTCCAAAACCTCATCTTTTCTCACCTGTTCAGTCTATAGTATTCTTAGTATTCTTCCTTAGGCCCATATTTCTGTTAATTCAAATCTCTTCTTCTTCTGCGAGGAGATCAGCCAACATTCACTGACATTTAGGAGGACTGATATTGCATAACAGTTCAGTACTCTTTGTTTCATATGAAATTTCTGTTTCTTGCCATTAGCTGAATATAAAGGCATCATCATTAATGATGATAGAGTTTGGGAATGCAGAACACACTACTGACTTTGCTTAATAGGAAGATAGATGATTAATGAGATCTACAGATATGTCATAGATTTTTTTCCCAACTGGTAACCAGGTACCTCTTTTATAATTACCTGCTCACAATTGAGTTTTTCGCTGCTCGTACACAAGTTGTTTTGTGTGTACATACTTCTTATAACTCCATAGATTTTGTAAAATTCTCAGCCTAATTTTCATTAACTTAAGTGTTCTAAGCAGAGTACATGTGTAAAGTGCAAACAAATTCATATTCACGTAATAAAAGGTGGGAAAACAAGATGGCGGTTTCATGTACAGAGGTTGTGCAATAAGCCGGTGTTTCATTAATTACATATGTAAATAAATGAACCAAAGGAGAAAAATATTTAACTCATTTAGGGACAGTGATTTTAAAACGCTAGCAAACGTTTGAAGAAAATTCCGAAATCTGTTAAATATATAAGATGCTGGTCGAGTAAATTTTAAGCGTATGTTTTGATGTGTATCAAAGGATAATAGAAAAGTTGACACTGAGATCCGAAAGCACATTGATGTAGCAAATGATGCCTTCCATAAACATTAACAGAATCTTATGAAACAGCAAAAGGTGCTTAAACGTTATTTAATATAAATAATCAAATATGGCGGCAAATGCAGTGCAATTTCTTCATAGAGGTAAAGAAGACGTGAAGCAAAAGTGATGCGGTTGTACAGAGGTCTCCTGAAAACATAATGGACAATGCAGTTAAGAAATGAAGAAGTTTTAATAAAATGGAAATAAAAAACGAAATTATTCACAAAATGAGAAAGATACAGTTGACAATTCTGGGAGATATAATTTGAAAAGTGGGTGGGGAATTTTTGATACTCACAGGACAGATTATGGTCAGAAGGACAGAGTTAAACAGCTATTAACATATTGTTATATAGAAATAACGTTTCGCTGTCGATGCTTGAGATTGAACATAAATAGCCAGTGAGCAAACACAGGCGATCCCATTATTGAATTAAGTAGACCACGTGACCATAGAGGAAACGCATAAGTAGGAATTAGCTTTGCGTCTAACTGAGCTGTATTTCCACTCTATCCTCTATTACTATACGGGTCGCTATTCTCTACTCTATTCACTATACTATTTCTCTATCCGGATTACTATTCGAGCAAGTAATATTAGTGCGGGTGCTATTCGAAGGCGTCTGGCACCAGTATTGTTCAACGGTGTACTATAGTTTTAATCTGCGATTACAAAGGCACTACTACAACGAGCATGAAGAAAGTGTCAAAAGAGTAATCGTTGACATTATAAAAGTGTCAAACGAGTCTTCGTTGGCATTACAAAAGTGTTAAACAAGTGTTCGTTGAGCCACAAAACATCTAACTTGTGTAAATAATTGACAGAAAAGGGATTAGGAGAGATAGCGAAAAGACAAACCCTATTAAGAGCTAAAATTGTTAGGAAGATGTGGAGAGTCATGATTCCACACGTTTGTTAGTTCTTTGTTTTTTTTTTTAGTGGCATATTAACCTCTATGTTTTATTTAATATTGAAATCTAAATATATTCTACACAGTTTTATTCATTTATATTTTGGTGATAATAGTGGCTTTTAGCGATACACGTCTTACTAATTAACCCATAGCAGGGGGAAAGACGTGGATTCATACCTTTCCCCAAGGGTATTTGTGCGTAAGAGAATATAACGAACTCAACTGGAATTAGTACACGGCTCCCTGATTAACAATTCAGAGTTATCACCTGCACATTTAAGCTTACAGCACCTGGTATTCCCAAGCGGTCACCCATATAGGTACTGACCAGGGTCGATATTGCTTAACTTCGGTGATCGTACAGGCATCGGGGCATCAACGTGATGCGTCCCTAAGCTGTTTTCTCACGGCCTGAACGGAAAGGTTGCATAGAAGACAGTAAGAATTCGTTATACGCAGTCGACAGGATCTTAAATTACGGTGATATCACGCGGAATACAGCAAACAATGTATATGTGGACACTAACTTGTCATTTCTCCTATACATTGTAGTCCTTTTTGATAACAGATTAGAAACTATATCGCGTCATGGTCACCAGTTGTTGCGAGTGAGAAAAAAGAATTAATATGAAACAAAACGAAAATGCTTGTATTAACAAAAGGATTTACACAGGTCGACACTTGTAACAATAGGAAAAAATCATTGAAACAAGTTAAAATAAGGATGTGTTTGTTTGTTTGTGTGTGTGTGTGTGTGTGTGTGTGTGTGTGTGTGTGTAACAAGCGTGTCTGACGCGTATGTGTATATGCGAGTGTGAGAGAGAATCAGTCAGTTATGTGCTATGCGTGTTACACACTTAGGCGATCATGTATCTTTCGATGACTGACGAGGCAGATTTTTTTCCCGCAGTAGGTTGACATTTCTTTCTGAGGTAGACCAGGCTATACAAACCAGTCTGTCATTTTATTTACCCATAACTTGGGTGGGGGGAGAAGAAGAAGATTCATTACTTTCCCAAGGGTATTAGCACGTAAGTGAATGTAATGGATTCGACTGGAATTTGAACTCGGCTCTCCGATTCCTCAATTGAGAGTACGAAAGTCAAGGGAGCATTCGCCCTTGCATAGAGTATTGCTGCCATAAATGATCTGGATCCCCTTCTGTTTTGCCTCCAGAGACGGATATCCAATGCAATTGGCCCTGATCTGGCATCTATTCTGCAGTCGTTCTCTCACAGACGTGCCGTCGCCTCTCTCTGTCTTTTTTACAAATACTTTCATGGTAATTGCTCATGAATTCATGCGTCCTGCGAGGCTGGCATCTCGCTCTCACCCTTTCACTGTTGAAACTGTTAAATGTAGCCGTCTCTTCTACTCCGATAGCTTCATGTCTCGCACTTCTCGCCTGTGGAACTCCCTTCCCTATTCCTGTTTCCCTGATTGCTATAATCTCCAACTTTTCAAATGTAATGTCACTAGACATCTCCAGCTGCCTTTATCTATCCACTATCTTTCTCTTCATCCTTTCCTCAATCACTCCTATCTGCTCTCGCTCCAAATCCTATGTAACCCCTTGCGTGCTAGTGGCTTCCAGCCTTGCTTGAGGTGAAATCCTTAAAAAAAAAAAAAAAGAACACAGAAAACGAACGCACCTGCATTCATATCTGCGTGATGCTATAACTAAAAGCCAGAGCTAGACCAAAAAGACGGCGAGTGAGAATATCATTGCCTGTTTATAGATTTAAAGAGCGCGCCCCCTAGCGGGCCAAGTTTGGTAACCTACAATAACTTTCCTTTTAATAAAAAAAAATCTAAAATGAAATGAACAAAACGAATATATTTCTTTAGTCAATGAACATTTTGATTTTATGATTTTTGGGTGATTTCCAAATCAGGTTTGTTCCCAATTGGGACACTATGGGGATTTAAATGCGTATCGGTCATTTTCTGGTTTTAGAACAATAAACAGAGACATGACCTTTACAGGAATAGACACTAATGCAGTAACATGGTTCTTAATAGCATAATGCTGAACCGAACATGAGTCTCTACCACCCGGCACAGGAATCAAACTCAGGTCAGACTCAGGTGAAACGAGATGAACAATAACTGATCAGTACTGAAAAATTCAAGACACGCTACAGAACTACGGCGATATAACCATCCCTATCCCTGGTGGCTCTGAGCATCGTTTCTCACTTTGCTAAGCCTTCCGCCCCACGTTCCGTCATCAATTCGGACAAGCGCGTCAGGGTGGCGTCTCCTTGTCTTCACCTATCGATGGCAAGAGCGATGTTCTTTGAAAGTTATGTCTTGCAAACCTATCTTCCTCTTTATATGTCCAATAAATCTTTGCTGTCTCTTTCTGATTCAAGTCCTCCTTCCTCCGCGACCAAAGAATTTCAGCTGTCTCTTCCTGATTCTGAGTTTAGGCGTTTTTTTTTTTTTGTTGCCATTTACTTCAAGACTTCCTCGTTGCTTACACGTTTCGTTCAAGGAATTTTTAATATCTTTCTGTAGAATCACATTCGTATTGCTTCTATTTTCTCTTCGCCTGTGGTATGATTGTATAATATTCTATGCCACCCGAAAAGATTATTGATATCACGAAGCAGTTCAGAACTCTTTTATTTGTTTCTAACGACATTTCATGTTTCATAGTACTTTGTTTAGATTTTGGTAGGCGACTTTGAGTTTCCATGTTGTATTTTTATCTGTTAAAACAGTTCCCAGGTATTTAAACGCAATGGTTTTAGTTTTAAATTTTTTGACGTTTACCAAGACCGATAGAAATCTGAAGAAGTGTGGGGAGGCCAATAGCTGAAACGTTGTGATCATGACAACAAATAACAATATCTGTCTCTATCTGTGAGATGACGTATTATGATTATTTACATTATTCAGACTGTTATCCTCATCTTCATTGCCATGCTCACAATGTTTCGGCCGTTGTAAGCTCTGGCCTTCTTCAGGTGATTGGAATTTCGTATCGAACTATTTATTTCATTCACCGGGGTAGATTGTTCTAGTTCCTCTTGTCATTCCACTTCCGGATGTCTCAGTTGTTTATTGAACATATAATTCTTTTGGTCTAGTCACTGGATCTAATCAATGTCTTTATCACCAAGGACACATGGCCCAGTGGATAAAGACGTTGGTTAGACCCAAAGAGTTGTTTGTTCAATATCCAAAGAGTTCAATATAAGGCCAATGCAGTAGTGAACCAAAAACTTGGAGAGTTGAGTTAAAGGGAAATAACCGTGGCATCCTGAAGAGGCATGGCTCGTGGAACTAGAACAATGTATCCCGGTGGACGAAATAAAGGGCGCGGTTCGAAATTCCAATCACCTGAAGAAGGATCGAGCGTACAATGGACGAAACGTTGTGAAGATGGCAATGAGGATGAGGATAACAGTCCGAATTATATAAACAGGCATTAGTCTTTCTGCAAAAAACAAAAAAAAAAAACTAAACAATTTTTAATTTTCTTCAAAGAAATTAAGATAGAATTATTCTTGTTATATTTCGCCATAGCCATCTTTTTTTGTTCCTCGGCACGCAGCAACTGTTCTGTTACACAAAATGTTTGTTTTTCATTTTGTCCTAGATGACATCGAGGCTATTTAGTTTTTAAACAAATTTATTTTAAAAAAATCGATTTTCATTGTTTTTCGGCAGCTGTCATGCGTTGGTGTAAATTTCAGATTAGGTTATACCAAAATTCATTCTTATCTTTGCTGATATGACACTGTTTGGTTTTATCTAAATTTATTAAAAAGATCGCTTTTGATTTTATTGTGATATCTATCATATCAGTGGGTATTGTCTCCACAATAATATCAATCGATGAAAAGCGTCTAGAATTAGTGAAGACAAAGGGTGTAACACTTGTTTACTTAAATCTTTGATGTCTAGGCAAAACTATATTTCAGGTTTGTTTGGAAAGCGTACACCTAGCAGATTCTACCAATAAATTATTATTTATTATGACCATTAACAAATTTCCTTGATGAAATAAATTTACTTTTTGTAGTAAAAGTCACCTACAGCGAATTTTTTTTGCTTAGAAAAACAAATAAAAACAAAAGTTCCCAGAGAATTAAATTATGAAAGAATTATTTGGATGATGCTTAAAAATAATCAAATTCTAAATTAGACCGTCAATAATTACATATTTTACCAAAAAAATGTCTTCAAGCTTTAATTAATAGATAAAAACAATAAAGCTTAGGAGTTGAGATCAAATACAGATCAAATATGGATCAGAATTAGGAAACATTTATTAATCTAATATATTTCACTTTTATTAAAGCTTTGTCAGAGACTGAGATATGGAGAAAAAGAAGAAGGGAATTCTGGGATGTTTATTTTTGTGCTGTTTGGTTTTATTGGTTAAAATGTTTATGGAAACGAATAAAACCTAACACTGAGCTTAAAGACATCGATTTTATGTTCTGTAAGGATGTTAAGAACACCCTAGACTGAACATCTGAGCAACGGTGAAGTTGAAGAGAAAATAGAAACTTAAAGACAGTTATAATTAACATGAGAAAGAGAGAGTTGAATTATCTAGGGTATATAAATTTGTCAATCACACAATATATTGAAAGCAAGAAGAAATTAGTGAATGACCCCCGCCCCTAACGATCTTGTGTAAATAGTTGGAAGAATAGGAATTAGAAGAAATAACACCCCCCACAAAAAAAACAAAAAAAAAACAAAACATTTCTAAGAGCTACAAAGAAACAGGAAGTTGTAAATAACCAGATTGCCAACATCCTGAAAAAATATGTCATAGAAGAAGAAGAAGAAGAAGAAGAAGAAGAAGAAGAAGAAGAAGAAGAAATAAAACAGCCTAAGAGTAAGCACCTGATTAATAATTTTAAATCCTACGTCAGTAGTTTGCAAACATTTTTTTTCTCTGGGTCGTATTTTCCGAATGAAAATTTGATTGGGCTTTACCAAATTTTATCTGCTAAAACGTACATAAAAAAACCAAAAAAAAACCAAAACAGTGACAGGTTTAAAGGGAAATAACCGCTGATTCGATGTCATTGCTAACTCTCTCCTCCAATTTGCGGACTCTATTTATTGTATTCTTAATTCTTGATATAATGCAAAAATAACACAATGAAAAAATCAGTTAATAATTATAAATACTTATACTGAAACTCATGCATGCAATGGCAAGTAATCCATAATAATATTTCAATTTTGAAACCATATTTATTTTTGGCATATGAATTTTTAAAAAGTGTTTCTAAATCTTTGTCTTTCAATCATTCCACCTCACCTGCTATCGTCTTCGGCCGGACCTACGAGGCATGACGCAAAGGTTGGGAATCACTGGCTTACGTAAATATGTCACAGGTTTAGAAA